AGAGTCTTCTTCAGTCGTCTATATTTTATTGATGGTTAGTGTTATTTGTGATAATTCCAGCAGGAACTAGTTCAAGCAAACTCAGAATAAAAAATTAATCACATGGTAAAACAACAACAAAATATGAAACAATGTTTATAAATATATTTCTATAGTCCATTTAAGCAGTTTTTGATTAATGAGTTTAATGGTGTTTTGTTTTGAAAAAATGGAAAATATTTTGATTTAGAGTTGACTGCGATTAACATACTACAGCCGCCATTACTGATTTCAAAAGTGTCTTCTTCAGGCGTCTATATTTTATTGATGGTTAATGTTACTTTTGTTAATTCCAGCTGGTGTTAGTTCAAGCAAACTCAGAATTGAAACAATCAATTACATGATTAAATTACGACCAAATAATACGAAACAATGTTTCTAAATGTATTTTTGTGTCACAAATAACCGATTTTTAATTAACGAGTTTAATGGTGTTTCGTTTTTGAAAGAATCGAAAACATTTTGATTTGGAGTTGGCTTCGATTAAGATACTACGACGCCATTACTGATTTCAGAAGTGCCTTGTTTAGGCGTCTATATTTAATTGATTATTTATGTTATCTTTCTTAATTCCAGGTGGAGTTATGTCAAGAAAATTCAGAACAAAAAAAAAACATTAATCTTATGACGAAGTAACAACAAAATAATAGGACACAATATTTCTAACTATATTTTTGTAATCTACTTGAGCAGTTTTTGATTAATGAGTTTAATGGTGTTTTGTTTTTGAAAGAGTCGAAAACATTTTGACTTAGAGTCGACTGTGAATAAGATACTGTACCTCTGTCACTGATTTCAAAAGAGTCTTCTTCAGTCGTCTATATTTTATTGATGGTTAGTGTTATTTGTGATAATTCCAGCAGGAACTAGTTCAAGCAAACTCAGAATAAAAAATTAATCACATGGTAAAACAGCAACAAAATATGAAACAATGTTTATAAATATATTTCTATGGTCCATTTAAGCAGTTTTTGATTAATGAGTTTAATGGTGTTTTGTTTTGAAAAAATGGAAAATATTTTGATTTAGAGTTGACTGCGATTAACATACTACAGCCGCCATTACTGATTTCAAAAGTGTCTTCTTCAGGCGTCTATATTTTATTGATGGTTAATGTTACTTTTGTTAATTCCAGCTGGTGTTAGTTCAAGCATACTCAGAATTGAAACAATCAATTACATGATAAAATATCGACCAAATAATACGAAACAATGTTTCTAAATGTATTTTTGTGTCACAAATAACCGATTTTTAATTAACGAGTTTAATGGTGTTTCGTTTTTGAAAGAATCGAAAACACTTTGATTTGGAGTTGGCTTCGATTAAGATACTACGACGCCATTACTGATTTCAGAAGTGCCTTGTTTAGGCGTCTATATTTAATTGATTATTGATGTTATCTTTCTTGATTCCAGGTGGAGTTATGTCAAGAAAATTCAGAACAAAAAAAAAAAAAAAACATTAATCTTATGACGAAGTAACAACAAAATAATAGGACACAATATTTCTAACTATATTTTTGTAATCTACTCGAGCAGTTTTTGATTAATGAGTTTAATGTTGTTTTGTTTTTGAAAGAGTCGAAAACATTTTGACTTAGAGTCGACTGTGAATAAGATACTGTACCTCTGTCACTGATTTCAAAAGAGTCTTCTTCAGTCGTCTATATTTTATTGATGGTTAGTGTTATTTGTGATAATTCCAGCAGGAACTAGTTCAAGCAAACTCAGAATAAAAAATTAATCACATGGTAAAACAACAACAAAATATGAAACAATGTTTATAAATATATTTCTATAGTCCATTTAAGCAGTTTTTGATTAATGAGTTTAATGGTGTTTTGTTTTGAAAAAATGGAAAATATTTTGATTTAGAGTTGACTGCGATTAACATACTACAGCCGCCATTACTGATTTCAAAAGTGTCTTCTTCAGGCGTCTATATTTTATTGATTATTGATGTTATCTTTCTTGATTCCAGGTGGAGTTATGTCAAGAAAATTCAGAACAAAAAAAAAAAACATTAATCTTATGGCGAAGTAACAACAAAATAATAGGACACAATATTTCTAACTAAATTTTTGTAATCTACTTGAGCAGTTTTTGATTAATGAGTTTAATGTTGTTTTGTTTTTGAAAGAGTCGAAAACATTTTGACTTAGAGTCGACTGTGAATAAGATACTGTACCTCTGTCACTGACTTCAAAAGAGTCTTCTTCAGTCGTCTATATTTTATTGATGGTTAGTGTTATTTGTGATAATTCCAGCAGGAACTAGTTCAAGCAAACTCAGAATAAAAAATTAATCACATGGTAAAACAACAACAAAATATGAAACAATGTTTATAAATATATTTCTATGGTCCATTTAAGCAGTTTTTGATTAATGAGTTTAATGGTGTTTTGTTTTGAAAAAATGGAAAATATTTTGATTTAGAGTTGACTGCGATTAACATACTACAGCCGCCATTACTGATTTCAAAAGTGTCTTCTTCAGGCGTCTATATTTTATTGATGGTTAATGTTACTTTTGTTAATTCCAGCTGGTGTTAGTTCAAGCAAACTCAGAATTGAAACAATCAATTACATGTTTCTAAATGTATTTTTGTGTCACACATAACCGATTTTTAATTAATGAGTTTAATGGTGTTTCGTTTTTGAAAGAATCGAAAACATTTTGATTTGGAGTTGGCTTTGATTAAGATACTACGGCGCCATTATGGAATTCAGAAGTGCCTTCTTTAGGCGTCTATATTTTATTGATTGTTGATGTTATCTTTGTTAATTCGTTGGAATTATTTCAAGAAAACTCAGAACAAAAAAAAAACAGTCATATGACGAAGTAACAACAAAGTAATAGGACACAATATTTCTAACTATATTCTTGTGGTCTACTTGAGCAGTTTTTGATTAATGAGTTTAATGGTGTTTTGTTTTTGCGAGGTTCGAAAACATTTTGATTTAGAGTTGACGGTGATTAACAAATTACAAACTCGGAATAAAAAAAATCAGTCATTTAGAAGAAAATTAAGAATGTAAGGGAATCTTGGGGTCCCTGGTGTCTTTTTAAAGAGGATGAAATAAGTATTTTGTTTTGGAAAGATTTTGAAAGACCTTGGAGGCCTTTGGTCTTTCTTTTATTTATCTTATAAACAAAATTAAATCACACAATCAAATTTGGTAATTTATCTAAAAAACTGGACTCGTTTTATCGCCTGTCGCAGATTCTAGACGCGAAAAAAGTTTTGTTTAAACAACTCCAGACCATTTTTTTCCAATGTAAGCGTTTAGGTTACCACCGTGTTTATTAGTTTTTGAGAAATTTTTGCATAAATTTGCAGACGCACTTTACATGAAAACCAAAACTGACTGAATACATTACAAAAACCCGAATTACTTAAAATTCTGCGCAGCCCAAAAAAACGCTTATCTCGACTTTGAAAGACAGTATTTATTAGCGAAAAACATGTTATGTCAATATTATGGATTTATGCAAATCTTTCAAATATGCAAATTTATTGCGTTTGTCTTTTTTACAAATTATTGTTTCGTCTGTCAGACTGCGTGTTCGAAAAAAAGCAACTCAAGTTGGCTGCGTTTTGAGGTCGTGCATGCCAACAACGTCTAGTGCTATATAGTAAAAATATGTTTTGGTGTGTCAAAAAATGTCGTGTTAGTAGTTGGCTGTAAAGCGTTATTAATTAATTATTACAGAAAATTCCAAACTGTTTTTATTAATCATGATTACATGTTAATTACTTCCTCAAGAATCAATTTCTGGTCTACTTCAACAATCTGGCCAAATTATTCACAGAAAAACTAAAATACCGAAAAAACTAATTTATGCAGAACGTTGGTCGATCGGTATTAACATGTTTGTGAAGACCTTGCGCAAAATTCAATGCTACTATTGTATACCTTAATATAGATGACCTTGTTATTGTAGTGATTTCATAAATTGAGCCAATTTTTATTACACATTTATCTTTCAGACAGCTCGCACTAAGCTATTGTAAAAGCAACAATTCTTTGTTTATGAATGAAAGCGGAATTCTCAAGCCACAACCAGCTGTGTCAAATTATAAAAATCCAGTTTCGAAAAAACTGAGCGAAAATTGTAGTGTACAAAGTTTGTAGAACCTTTACGTGTCATAATTCATTAAAAAGCAAATATCCCCAGCCCGGTAACACACTGGAGGACAAACAACTTAGTCACACTCATTCAGACCACATATAATAATTAGCTTCTCACTCACCACGACCAGGTACCAACAAGCAACATTTCCGAAAGCCGTAACATAGTGACCAATTATTAAATATATTATTCCCTCTTCTGTTTCGTTTCATTATCGATTATCACCTACACTCACTTAACCGAGAAAAACGCACGAGTTTTTCTTCCGATAAGCCGCAATTTAAAAACAAGCTGCTTCAGACCTATCATAAAGTCACCTCTACACTAAATCAACGTACTCCTACAAGATTTACACGATAAACTAGCGCTTTTCGCTCAAGTCGTGTACAACATGAAAATTCCATGGCCGGTTATTATCGTCGTAAAGATAAGAGGCGGAATAGCAGACTTCCGTTTCCCGTGACCATTGTGTTCCGCGTTAAAAAGCGGTTTGATTAAGGGTGTTCCTGCCGGATCCACGAGAAAACTAATAGTCGATTTACGTTAGTTTTGTCCTTAACAATATTGAAAGAAGAAGGACCAAACAAAGTTTGTATAGTGGCAAAATTTCAATATTGGGTAATACAATAGTTTCTAATTCGGTGTTATACTTTCCATAACGAATTTCACCAATTTATGGTATTGTTATTTCAAAAGTAAACCTATACAAACACGGGTTGTTCCTTCTTGTTTCTGAACCGTCCGACGTACTCACGATTCGGGGTACCACAAAGCCGCGATTCGTTTTCTTCTAGCCACCTCAAACTACAAATTTTTACTACTACGCACCTAATCCCATACGGCGCTTGATTTTCTTGAGGACCTTCATTTTTCCCTTCAACGGCGAGAAGACTTCGTCCCCTTTGACCTTATCGGCTTTGCAAGTGCAGGTTTTATTTTCAGATATCCCCATCAAGATATTTACACGGTCACGCAAGTTTCTATTCACTGACACTGTTTCTCTCGGTTTCCATTACACTGAGAATGCCACCGAACTAATATGAAACGTGAAGACTAGAACTTGGAAAAAAGTGGAAACACGCGGAGGTTGCGGAGCTGCACGTCACTCCTTCCGACGTTTCAGAAGGACTGAAGCAATTTTCAGAGTTTAGTGCTTGAAATGTGTACGAATTGGGAGTGGTGGGGGAAAAACAGCTGCGGCCACGAGCCGGCGACCAATCGGATCGGTGCCACACGCCTGATGCCTTTGCAGCCGGCGCGGACAGATGTGACACCCTATCTTGCTTTACCTGTGTTTACCTATTCTTCGTTTTACCTGTTGTATGTGAAAATTGCCTCTGGAGCGGAGACGGGGACGGGATTTTGGGGAGAGGCGGAGGGGAGGATGTAATATGAAATTAAAGAAAATAATTTTCAAATGTGGGATCGGTTACACGTTTGTTATCAGTAAAATTCGGCGAAAATGAAAGTAAACAACTCCAATTTTCGTTAGTAAGAATTTTAATAAAAAATAGGAAAGTCGAAAAATGATTTATTCTTTTGGCCCAATTTCAGCATGTAAAAATTAAGGGATGAATAAATCTTAGTGAAACACCCTGTAGACAGACAGAGAAAAATATATAATAATAAATAAAGTTTTACTAGTTATCTTCATGGTTATAGAACTTAAAGCCTGAATAAATCTTGGTGAAACATCCTGTACACAGATATAGAAAAATATGTAATAATAAATTATAGCAACGCAAAATACAAATAATAATAACTATACTTTCGTTTTTATAAAATTATTTATAATATGTGTATTCACAGAAGCATATTTTCTTAATCTTTAGTGATATTTTTCAGGCTGCAGTTATTATAAATACGAAGTTTGTTTTTAGCCTTTCAGTATTTTCAGTTGAAACTGAAAAAATAAATGAAACTGTAAATTTTCGCTAATTAATTACTACTACGTACTCATAAATTTGGGAATATAAAGTATGAATATAAATAAACAGATATAAAAATTATTTCATGACCAAAACATTTAAAACATTTTTATGACTCAGGCTTTTAAATGAACAAAAATTTGATTTTTTTTTCAATAAAAATTTAAGTTGAATGGGGACTTTTTTTAAAATTTAGATATAAAAACGTAAATTAAAATCAATTTAAGTTAATCTAAGTATAAAAGATTATAATTCTCATCAAATTGTTGGTGGGGATTAGATAAATTTTGGTTAGCATTTTACGATCTAAACGATATTCCTCACATTCATATAAAGTTGACAACAATCGGTCCGCTGGTTTCGGAAATTATCTGTCTCACAAAAATTGACACACACGACAGACAGACAGACAGACAGACACGGAAACGGGTGTCCTATTTTCTCGTTTGTTAGGGGTCATGAAAAGTCCAGAAAACATGAAAGTAGCCAACTTAATCTTCGAAAGTAAAAATAATAAAAGCTCTGTGAAATTTAGTTTATTTCTAAATCATGTTTTTTGGTAAGGATCCGCCAACACTGCACTTATCACTGAAAATTTATGTGACACGCTGTACACAACAATTAAGTTAATTAGTTAATAAGCTGTTGGTCTGGTTATCTAAATTTTATAAAATAATACACGCCTGTACTAAGGGTCTATGAATCCGCCTTAAGTTATTCTAAAATAAATAAAATTTTGTAAAGTCAAATTTTATAATTTTGCCAAGTAACACGTCTTAGTTCCTTTGTAACTAAAAAGTAATGGAATGACCTATTTTCCACTTCATTTTTGGTGTTCAGTAGTCAGTAGTGTACAATTTAGTCTTCGTTGTTTTATACATAAAATTTAATCAAACAAGACGCGATTTGAATAGACGTATTTACACATAAAGATAGTAATATAAAAATATATATACAAGGTGAGTCATCAAACGCGTTTCTCGATATATTTGATTAATTATAAGAAACAGAAAAAAAAATCGAAGACCAAAGTTTTACGGTTTTTTGAGGATCATAAATAAAAATTATTTATAACTATACAGTAGTTTTTAAAATTAAAACCTTATCTGTTTTTAGACATTTGGATTGACCCCTCTTTAAGCTTTAAAATCAGAGTTTAATTTTGAAATTCGGATGCGACGTTGCCACGTTATTCCAATTTTCTTTAAATTTTTTGACAATGGAAGGGTTCACACAAAAAATTGCAATCTAGGGTTATTTTTCAAGTCTGTCTTACAACGTTTTGTGGAAGGATCAACAAAGGTACGCGCTTTGTTGTGGTATCAACTGAATCCAATTTTAATATACAGAGTGTTTATAAAAAATTCTAAAACTTTACAATTTTCAAATATCGATATTTCAATTTTTCCTAATGGTATTTTATTGCTGTATCTTACTCTATTTTTATCCTCATTTTTCTAAAATGTTGATGTGTCTCTTAAAGAAGTAAAAAATCGCAAGAACTGTCAATTTTAAGGACCATAACCAAAAATTATTTAAAACTATACAGTAGTTTTTAAAATGAAAACTATATATTTTTAGATATTTAGATTGACCTCTTTTTAAGCTTTACAATGACAGCTTCATTTTGAAGTCCCGATGCGACGTTGCCAAATTATTCAAATTTTCTTGAATTTTTTGGCAATGGAAAGACCACACAAAAAATCGCAACAGGGTTATTTGTCAAGTCTATTTTACAATATTTTGTGGAAGAATAAATAAAGGTACGCTCTTTGTTGTGGTATCAACTAAATCCAATTTTAATATACAGAGTGTTTATAAAAAATTCTAAAACTTCACAATGTTCAAATATCAATATTTCACTTTTAGCTAATAGAACAGTCCGTATTTTATTTCTGTATCTTATTCTATTTTTGTCCCCATTTTCTGTCGATGTATTTTTTTTCCTTCATTTTTCTAGTTTTCAAGTTTAAATTTTTCAATTTGAGTTTCTCGAGTTTTCAATTTTTAATTTTTCCATATGCAATTTTTTGTTTTTTCAATTTCGATTTTTTTTAATTTTTCGGTTTGCAATTTCTTCAATTTAACTATATGTAACTCATTAAATTTTTAGATTTTGGAGTTCTTCGATTTGAAATTTCACGAGTTTAAAATTTTTAATTTTCAATTTTTAGATTTTTCAGTTTTTCATTCCTTCAGTTTTTCGAGAAAAAGGAGAAAGTACAAGAAAATTACTGAATAATAGATTGACCAATTTCAATTGTGATGAGTTTTTTCATTCCTAATTAGGCAAGGGGCGGAGTTTAATTGTAACATCAATATTTCTCTAAAAATTTAACCCTTCTAAAAACATATTTCATATGGTAATTTCTTGTAGAGAAATGAGGATTTTGCAAACTAAACTCCGCCCTTCTGCTCACGATCAATAAAACTTTCACCACAATTGAGAAGGGGTGGGTGGGCGGGGTTATATTTTGTTCATTATTTCTTAATATACGAAGTCATCTTTTCCCAACAAGAAACTAACAATAGGTTTAACTTTCTTGTTGTTGAAAGAAAACTCTATATATTAAAAAAAAAAAAACAAAAATTAAGCGCCACCCACTCGCCCCGATCTCAGTTTTTATGAGTATTTCATTCCTGATCAGACCGAAGGGCGGAGTTTAATTGCAAAATTCTCATTTCTTTACAATAAATTATCATATGAAATATGTTTTTACATCAATATTTCTCAAAAAATTCTACTCTTTTAAAAACATATTTCATATGGCAATTTCTTGTAGAGAAATGAGGATTTTGCAACCTAACTCCGCCCTCTGGCTCATGATGAATAAAACATTCATTACAATTGAGAAGGGGTGGGTGGGCGGGGCTTATATTTTATCCATTTTTTCTTAATATGCGAAGTCTTCTTTTCTCAACAAGAAACTGAAAAGATGTTTAACTTTCCTGTTGTTGAAAGAAAACTCTATATGTATATTCGACAAAAAAAAAAATTAACCCCCATTCACCCGCCCCGATCTAAATTGTGACGAGTTTTTAATTCCTAATCGGACCGAAGGGCGAAATTTAATTGCAAAATCCTCATTTTTGTACAAGAAATTATCATATGAAAAATGTTTTTATATCAATGTTTCTCTAAAAAATTTTGCTCTTTTAAAAACATATTTCATATGGCAATTTCTTGTAGCGAAATGAGGATTTTGCAAACTATACTCCGCTCTTCCGCCCACGATGAATAACACATTCATCACAATTGAGAAGCGGTGGGTGGGCGGGGCTTATATTTTGTTCGTTATTTCTTAATATACGAAGTTATCTTTTCCCAACAAGAAATTGAAAATATGTTTAATTTTCTTGTGTTTGAAAGAAAACTCTATATATTAAAAAAAAAAAAAAACAAAATTAAGAACACCCACCCGCCCCGATTTCAATTGTGATGAGTTTTTCATTCCTAATCAGACCGAAGGGCGGAGTTTAATTGCAAAAACCTCATTTCTCTGCAATAAATTATCATAAGGAAAATGTTTTTACATCAATATTTCTCTAAAAAATTCTACTCTTTTAAAAACATATTTCATATGGCAATTTCTTGTAGAGAAATGACGATTTTGCAAACTAAACTCCGCCCTTCCGCTCATGATGAATAATACATTCATCACAATTGAGAAGGGTTGGGTGGGCGGGGCTTATATTTTGTTAATTATTTTTTAATATACGAAGTCATCTTTTCCCAACAAGAAATTGAAAATATGTTTAATTTTCTTGTGTTTGAAAGAAAACTCTATATATTGAAAAAAAAAAACAAACAAAAATTAAGCCCCACCCACCCGCCCCGATCTCAATTGTGATGAGTTTTTCGAGTTTTTCATTCCTAATCAGACCGAAAGGCGGAGTTTAATTGCAAAAACCTCATTTCTCTACAATAAATTATCATATTAAATATGTTTTTACATCAATATTTCTCTAAAAAATTCTACTCTTTTAAAAACATATTTCATATGGCAGTTTCTTATAGAGAAATGAAGATTTTGCAAACTAAACTCCGCCCTTCCGCTCATGATGAATAACACATTCATCACAATTGAGAAGGGGTGGGTGGGCGGGGCTTATATTTTGTTCATTATATCTTAATATACGAAGACATCTTTTCCCAACAAAAAACTGAAAATATGTTTAATTTTCTTCTTGTTGAAAGAAAACTCTATA